CTGAAAAAACATCAAACAAAACACTGTAAGCACGAAGCTTAGTGAGTTCCCCAAAATACCACACATAACACATATTAGCCACTCGAGGCTATAACTCTGTGGGTCCGTGCACCCAAACTCTGTGAACCCTCAGGTTCTAACTCTGGGAACCTTCCGGTTCCAACTCTATAAACATGCACAGCATAAATCACATAGAAATAATGCAGTACAACACATCACGTACATATAGCATACAAATACTCTAATCACATAACTCTGGTTACCTACTCAAGGTAAAGTATAGTGAGAAGACTCACCTGGCAAGCAGGAAGCAGATATCCCCACACTTGAATCTCGAACTCGCCACCGCCTAACACGTAAGGCAAATACTCTCATGAATATAACTCTCGAGACTAGAATAAATCCTCTCATAACACCCTCTTATGGTTAAAAGACTATTTTACCTCTCTCTTGGCCCAAAGGCCACATCGCTGACCAAACCCTAAAAGTCAACGGCCAACCCTTGGTCGAAATCAAAGTCCTCAGTCTAAGTCAACCCCTGACTGACCCTACTCGCCGAGTCAACCCTGTGACTCGTCGAGTTCCCATAATCAGAACTTTATTCAATCTGCGACCTAACTCGCCGAGTCACCCCGAGACTCGCCGAGTCCAACAACTCTGAGTCCACTCGCACTCGACTCACCGAGTCATCCCTCGACTCACCGATTCTCGGCTCAACCAGAGAATATTTGGGACTCTTCGACAAGACTCGTCGAGTCCAAGGCTATCTTCAACCTACTCGCCGAGTTGTTCTTCCAACTCGTCGAGTTCCAGGCCATCTTCAAGCAACTCGTCGAGTCGACCCATGTGACTCGCCGAGTACCACCGTTACGAATCCATTCAGAAGCACTCCAGGCCATGCAATTGATCCAAAACATAGATCTAGCCTCCTACAACCCATTCATCACGTAAAGTGGCAAACTTTACGTGAATCCAAAGAGATCTAAGCCGTTTGCACATTGGGGCTAGGGTTTGGGACATGTAAGCTTCACTAAACACTCTAACACAGGGACTTTCATGCTCTCTGATTCTTCTCCCTTCCAGATCTGAGGTAGCAACCTCAGATCTAACCTCTAGACTTCCCATTTCATCCATAGACAATTTCTCACAAACCCCAAAATGAAGAAACAACATAACAACAGGTCAATAACGAGATATTACCTCTAAGTGATGCCCCAACTGCAATGAAATTCGAATCCAAGAAAATCCCCTTGCTCCAAGCCTTCAATCTTCCCAAAATTCCTTCAACCATTACTTCTCCAAGCTCCAATCCACTCAACAATGGTGCTTCTCCGTGATTTAGGGTTTTCTGGGGCTCAAGGGGTGATAAAGAGGCTGGGAGGAAAACATAGTGATCTTTATATAAGGCTCAACCCCGAGAATTAGGGTTTTCTCCACTCAGCGCCTATTCGCCGAGTCCATTACACTGACTCGCCGAGTCGGCCACTTAACACGCGACCAGGTCGCGACTCTACTCGCCGAGTCCGCACATGGACTCGCCGAGTCACTCTTTCCCAATTTACTCTTTTAGCCCTTCAACTCTACTCTTGATATTTCGGGATGTTACAGGAGTGAGACAAGGTGATCCTTTATCCCCCTTTCTTTTCATCATCACAATGGAAGGTTTGAATGTGGCACTTAAAAGTGTTTGGGAAAAAGAACTTGTACTTGAAGTTAATGTACCAAACAACGGTCTATCCATTTCCCACCTTTTCTATGATGATGATGTAATTTTTGTGGGTGAATGGCACAAAAAAATGTATTAAAAATCTTGCACGCATCCTTAAATGTTTTCACATTTGCTATGGTTTAAAGTTTAACTTCCGTAAGTCTAGACTATTGGGCATTGGAGTACTTGATGGGTTTTGAGCATTACATTAATCATATGGTGCACATGCTAACCCTAAAGCTTTGGATCTAGTTTATCTAGTTGTACATGCAATAATCATCCAAAGCTCATAAACCCTAAATCTAGCATACTATAATCGAAAATTAAGGTTTATATCTTACCTAGATTGTTATGTAGCAATAACAATCACAAAACTTCTTGATCTTGACTTCTGAAAGCTTAGTTCCTCAAATGTTGCCCCCCTAATGGAGTCACAAACACCATAAGCAACAAGATGAACAAGGAGAGAGGGAAGAGGCACCAAAAAAGTCCTAGGGTTTCTCTTAGAAGGTCAGGGATGTTTTTGGCTTGCCTAAGGGTTCCTTTTATACTTAGGCTTCTAGGGTTATCAACTAGGAAACCCTAATCCAACTGCTTAATCCTTAAGCAACCTAAAGACCCTTCCAGAAGGCCCTTGGATGATTTCTATATGGACCTCCATATAGAATTTGTCAATGCTTTCTTTATGGATCCTAAGCCCAACTTTGTAACTATCTTATAATTACAGTACCAGTACCCTTTACTTAATTAATCTATTTTAGCCACAAAATTAATTCTTAATTAATTCTTGACCAATATTAATTAAACAATATGATTTCTCCTTTAATATATTATTCTTATAATATATTAATAAATCATAAGTAATCCTCTTTCTCCTTAATTCATCCTATCAATTGCTATGGTGATGGCAACCCAAAAGGATAATGCTCATAATCGGGTCAAGTACATACGAAAATAGTTATGGACTTAGACACCTAATCCAACAGTACCCACATCCGATCTATATGAACAAGTACAAGTCTTAGGCTAATTAGAAGGAACCCTCCCATTCACTTATCTAGGAGTCCCAGTTGGAGCGAACATGTCATTGAAAAAACATTGGAGACCGATCATTGAGAAATTTCAATCAAGGTTGGCGACTTGGAAAGAAAAAAAGCAATATCATTTGGGGGATATTAACATCAATAAAATCAATCCAAAATAGTTTACCTATATATTAATTTCTCTCCTCAAAGCTCCGAATGGCATAGTTGAAGATTTGAAAAAGTTGAGGCGTATATTAATATGAAGTGGTGATGATTCAAAATAGAGAATTTATTGGTTCTCTTGGGAAAAGATTGTAGCTTCATAAAGACAAAACTGCAAATTTAGTCCCTGTGGTATTCAAAAAACTTTGGATAGGGTCAAAAAAGTTTTCAACTTGCATGGAAGTTCGAAAATCAAGGTTTTTCTGGGTTTTTGGTCCAAAAAAACTTAAAAAGATGGTTATGCCCTTTTTATTTCTTTTTCCCTTTTTCTATAAATATTTTAATGATATATTCACTTTAAAAAAAAACGAATTTCCCACCCTTACCTCACCGTACTCTCTCTCTCTCTATCTCTCTCTCTCTCTCTCTCTCTCATTTCAATGGTTGAACTATCTAACACCAAACATTAAACATGGTGAATTTTCTGATGATGAAGATAAAGTTATATGTATCCTCTTTGCTAGCATTGGTAGTAGGTACACTTTCTTTTTCAAGATTCTGTATTAAGGGCGATTTTGTGGTATTTAGCATGCAAAAATGGAGATTTTTGTCAAGATCTCTCATATGTGAACATATATGCAGAAATCTAAAAGTTTGAATAACTTAATGTGCAGGTGGTCAATAATGGCAGCCCAGTTATCAACAGACAATGATATCAAGAGCTACTGGAACACAAATTGAAGAAGAAGATGATGAATAGCTTAATCACCCTACCCGAACTTAGAAAACCTCTTCAACATCTTCAATGTTTCGGTTCTTTAACAAACTACAGCTACCCATCACAATCGATTTTTCAAAATAGTAATATCAATGTTAATGCTCCATTATCATCATCAATATCGTTTTCTGCATTATATTTGTACAGTACAAATACTTCTAGCTACCATGATCAAAACTTATCTATCCCATCTAGCCCTAGAGTTAATGCTGCTAATCGTCTACATCCAGTTCTCCAATCATAAGATCATGGATTTCTCGGTCTGCTTTCCACGGAGACTTACCAGTAGGAGGTAAAAGACAGTTCTACCCTTGTCTTCTTTAGAGGTGATCAAACTAGTTGTAGTTTTATTTTCGATGGGAGCTGCCATTATGAGTATCATAGTACTATTGGTGTATATGATCAACATCGTAACAACTTGAGTGATTCTTACAAGGAATTTGGTGGGCATTATGATAAGGAAAAAGGGTATTATGAAGATTCTTCATTAGACTCCAGTCTTGAGGAGATCAAGCAGATGAGAGAGAAAGAGTCAAAGAGGGAGAGAGAGAGAGAGAGAGAGAGAGAGAGAGAGAGAGAGAGAGAGAGAGAGAGTACCGTGGGTGGGGGGTGGGGGTGGAAAATTCTTTTTTTTTTCTTTTTTTTTTTTAAAAGTCAAAATAGCATTAAAATACTTATAGAAAAAGGGAAAAGAAATCAAAAGGACATAAACGTCTTTTTAAGTTTTTTTGGACTAAAAACCGAGAAAAACCTTGATTTTGGATCTTCCATGCAAGTTGAAAACTTTTGGATCCTATCCAAAGTTTTTTGAATATCACAGGGACCAAATTTGCAGTTTTATCCTTCATAAAAGAAAGGTGGGCTTGGGGTTGGAAGTCTAATGGCACAAAAGATATCTTTCTGAATAAATGGTGGTGACGATTAAAGATAGAAAAAGATAATCTATGGAAGAAATATATAGATAACATACATGTAAAGAAATCTATTCTAGGTGCTTGGTGCAACAAAATAAGTATGCCTAAGTTTCAACTTGACCCCAACATGTTGCTCTCGGTAATCACTCATTCTAATATGGATGCCTTATTTTGGAAAAATATCCGGTGCGGAAGTATAACTCTTCAAGAAATATTCCCAAGACTGTATGAGTTACAAAATAAAAAATGATGCTTATTCAGTGAAAGAATCTGTAACTCGACCTTGCCGTGGCAATGGAAATCTCAATTAAGAGGCTCGACAGATCTCCTTAAGCTATCAAATTTATGTTCCTTAATCTCAAGTCTTCCTAGTTCGACTATAATAATGGGGTTTCGATCTAATCCAAACACAAATGGCAAGTACTCGGAGCACAACGAGAAGATTAATTGACTCACAATCCAAAAGTTTTGGTGGACCTCAGATCTGTTGGGATAAAGGAATTCCCATAAATGTGAGATGCTTCGTATAGAGGGTTGTGCAGTATAGATTACCGCTAGCTAGCAACTTAGCATAAGTGGGTATTTTAGTCCAAAACTGTTTATGCTCCTTGTGTGGGATTGAATTGGAGACCGAAGACCATCTTCTAATTTGTTGTAACATGGCATATGAGGCTCGTGATTGGGTATTCAAGTGGTGTGGCATTCCGAGTAGTTAATTCTCAACGGTGTCAGAATTCATAGATTTCAAGGTGGCACGGGGTCACTGTCCACAGAAAAGGAGCAAGCTAGCTTAATGTCATTCTCTTTTGTATTCTTTGGTATACGTGGCTAGCAAGGAACAACAAGATCTTCAATAATCATGGCACACCTCCAACCAAGATCACGGATAATGTCATCTCCCAAGCATACGTTAGGATTAAATATAGAAATTCTATCAGATGTGGTAGTTGGGTAGATCGGAGTGTCTCTCCATTTTTATAATCTTGATCAATTGTAAACAATATTTGTACTTTATCACGCCCCACCTGTTGGCCACTTGCTAATCGTGGTGGCATTTTAATGTTATATATATTTACCGTTTCCAAAAACACTCATAATAATTACTTACTCAAAATCAACTTTTTTTTTTTTTCGTTGATACTAATATGTCGTTTACTAAATACCATTTTTTTGTTGTTATGAATAGTTGATTTGTAATTCTTTCCAATTTACCAAAATCATTTTCTTTTCCATTTTCTTTTCTTTCAGAAGCTCCAACTAAGTCATAATCACGACTTCTTTTATTTATTTTACATAGTATCGATAACAATAACCTAACTCATGCTAATTAAATATCTTTATTATCATGATTACATAATAGTAGATTTTAAGGATAATATTTATAAAACATATTTATTGTTTGTCCTTGGTTTTGAAATATATATTTATATATGTGTTTTTATAATTAATTGAATGTTCTTCTTTTAAAATATTTTTTTATTATTGTTAATGTGTATATGTATTAATCTTTAAAATATATGTGTTAAGATTTATTATTGTTTGTAAATTTATTATTAATTATTGTGATTTTTATAGTCCGTGTTATTTTACTTTATGAACTATATAGTATACGGATTATAACTTTGCAATTTGTTGATTCGAAGAGATGAAATAAAATTTTTAATTTTAGACAATCATGTAAACTTATCAATAGTATATATAATGTTGTATTAACAAAGTCTTTGGAGATTGGTGATCCACGACAATTCTTTAACATATGTCAATAACTTTTTATTATCGTAGATTAAATTACTTAATTATTTGTTATTTCAATTGTATTTCACTATAAATAAATTAAATGACATATAGTGACACATATTTTTTGTGGCATATGGTTAATGTGCCACTATAAATGGTTTTTGTGACACTTATTATATACCGTTAAAAAATTAATACATTTAATGATACTTAATTTTTTGTATCACTAAATTTCATAGTTATCAATGGCATAATGACTAGATATACCACTAAAACTTTTTTTATTTATTAAAAATACCGTATAAATAATTCTTATAATTACTAAAATATTTAATTATAATATTAACAATTTATTTTATATTTCTCGTTTAAATCTATTATTACATATTGGAAATTTATTATGTTAATACTTTTAAATTTTGATTTTGTTGTTTTATTATTTTGAAAACCAAAACCGATTTTTACTTGGGATTAATTTATAATTTCCATTAATTTATCTATTTTCTTGTTTAAAAAAGGGATTCAAACATAATAATTGCTGATTAATTAAATTTAACAATAAAAACAAAATTATTAATTATAACCATCGAATATCCATGTAATGTTTTTCTATTCAATTTTATGTAGATTTTTTATTTAATTAAAATATCAAAAGAAAAAAAATCAGTGAATCCAAACTTAACGGATGACTCAAGCGTGGCCCCACTTATCCATCCTATCTCAACCACACCACCACTTTCTCTTATCGATTTCTCGTCTATTGTTCAATAACTCCCGATAAATTAGAATCCCGTGAAAAAACTAAGAACTAGTACATAAAACAAAAACCACACTTACAATTAAAATAATGATACGCACAACCCTCTCTTCGTCGACGATGATCTAAATACACTATCACCACCCTCTCTTCGTCGTCGTCGGACCATCACGCCGTCGTCGGCCTGTGGGTTGCTGCTTTCGCGATCATCGTTGCTTCCGATCGCCGCCACTTCCTCGATAGCCGCCACTTCCTCGATCGTCACCGTTGCATCCTTAATCGGTGTCACTTCTTCGATCGACACCGCTTCCTCGATCACCGCCTCTTCCTCGATAGTCGCCACTTCCTCGATCGTCACCGCTGCATCCTCAATCAGTGTCGCTTCTTTGATTGGCGCCGCTTCCTCGATCACCGCCGCTTCCTCGATAGCCACCACTTCCTTGATCGTCGCCGATGCATCCTCAAACTCACGGTTAGGTATTTTTGCTGCTCAAATAAGCTTATTTACAAATTTCATCTTTTGGTAAAATTGAAGTTGTATACTACTTGATTTGTTGCAAAATCATTGCCCAAACTGCTAGGGTTTATAAATTTTTTGAGAGGATGCCAATAGTACCCTTAAAAGTTCAATAATTTTCGATTATTAGAACCGTTGATTGCATTTTGACTTTCTCAAATAAGCGTATTTACAAATTCCATCTTCATTTCTTTGTCACAATCTGTGACACCATTAGATCATCTAAGAATTTATTACTTGTTATTTGAGAGGTCCCTGGTCCATTAAAAACATACCAACAATTGTTACAGTTTAAAAATACAATAAATTTTACAATTCTACATATGTTAGAAATATGACTAAATAAGAGAATTTATGATTATCACTAACTTATTTGACTATCTTGATCCATATAGATGATGACAATTCTATCTTAGATGGATAATTTGTATTTCTTTTACGATTGTATTTGTGAAATATGAGTAATATCATGCTTAGTCCCAATCCTTTAACACAGAGAGGTGTGATAAATTTGCTTTGTGTTTTATTGCTTCATTTTTATATAATTTTGTTTATTATCTGAATCATCATCTAGTATCTGTTGATGTTATTTTTCAGGGGCTTAATAAGTCACTGATTGAAAATAGTGCAATCACCCTGGGTAGACTTGCATTGGTTTTTCCTGAGCTTGTATCACCTCACATGGAGCATTTCATGCAAGCATGGTGTATTGCTTTAGCCATGTAAGTCCCAAATTTTTTACAAATTCAACCTATCTTATATATTTTACTTAAATATCATTTGACATACTTAAATTTCTTAATGTTAACATGATTCAGGATGATATTGAAAAGGAGGATGCTTTTTGAGGTCTATGTGCAATGGTATGCATATCTGTTTTTGTTTGGTTTTGACTTTTGAAGCAGAAACTTATGTATGTTTGGTTTTGTTTTGTTTTTCAGGTGAAAGTGAACCCATCATGGGCTTTAAGTTCACTTGTTTTCTTATGTAGAGCCATTGCTAGTTGGCATGTAAGTTTTTTTTTTTTCAACCATTCTTATTCTTCAAAACACACACACATCTACTTATATTATTTTGACATACACTTGGCACTTGCAGGAAATTAGAAGCGAGGAGCTATACAATGATGTTTTGTAGGTGCTCCTTGGTTATAAACAGGTATGAATATCATCTTTCTCTTTTTTTCATTAATAGTTTTTTTACCCATAATAGCAATCTATCTACATTTCTCTACTCGTATCAGCAATTTACACCTAATTGCAATACTTACATTTTGGCTATACAAACATGGGCGATGTGCTTTATATGTTACATATTGGTATTAATGGTTAAACGATTTAAGTATATTACTTGTTATTATGGTAAATGATTAATTTACTGTTAACATGTTTCACGTTATGTATTGCTATTATTACGTATAACATAAAGTATATTATTGTAAAAAGACTAAAATACTTGTTATTTCCAACAATTTGCTTTATTATTATATTTAATTTTTTTTATTGTATGTATGACAAATACTAAAGAATGGAGCATGGGAGCAGTGTATGTCAACTTTGGAACCACCTGTAAAAGAGAGGCTCTCAAAATATAAAGTATAGTTGTGAGTTAAGTTGGTTGGGTTGGGTTTTTTAAAGTATGACATAACAATTTATTCAAGCTATCATGTTTTTGTTTTTTATTTTTATATGCATGTTTTAACTTTTGTTCATTACTTTATGTTTAGCATGTAGTTCGACATATTTGATATTTACCTATATATTCAATTCAAAAAGTTAAAAAGATATTGATGAAAAACAATGAAACTTTGATTAGTGTCAATGTGCTTCAATTTAATTATTCATTTTATTTTATATTATAGATGAAATTGTATTATGCCAAATCAAACTGTCACTAAAATTTGAATATATGTAACTAAAAGTAGCTTGAATTTTTTAAATCACATGAGCTTTAATGGCACAAAATATATACCACAAAAAAATTTCTTCTGTTGTGACACATAAAAAAATGTCACTAAAATCTTAAAATGTGTACCTAAAAGTAACCTAAATTATTAAATCAAATCAGATTCAGTGGCACAAAATATATGCCACAAAAGAAATTTGTTTTACTGTGACAAATAAAAAAGTGTCACTAAAAGCTTAAAAACTGTAGCAGCAAAAACAAAATGTGCCGCTAAAAGGTTTTAGTGGGACCATTTCTAGTGGCAATTATTAAGTGTGTTGCTGATTCTTTGAGAAGCCTTTAGTGATATTTTTTTGGGTTTTTAGTGACATTTTTTGTATGCCACTAAATGACATATTTTTTGTAGTATTTATTTTGAAATTTCACTTTAAACATGGTTATTGTTTGATTTTTTATATTCTTTTAATTAACATGTGTAGTATATGGATCTTACAACTAGTATAATATATAATTAAATACATAATTGTGGAAAGTGAATTATGGTCGAGAGAATAAGAAATAGGGTAAATTACAAGAAAGTCATTATATTATCATGAAATTTTTATTTTGGCACCGAGTTAGTTTTTTCTCAATTATGTCTCTATATTTACAGTTTTGTTGTAATATCAACGAAATGATTGGTTCTCCTTGTTCTTCTGTTAACCACTTTTCCCAAATTGCAATAAAGTCACTAAGTTTACCAAATTTTGATTTTGACGAGTTTCAAATTGCAAGAAAGTCATATTACCACACAATTTCATTTTGACACCGAGTTCTTTCTCAATTATGTCGTTACATTTATAATCCTGTTGCAATATCAAACAATTGATCAATTCATGAGATGTTATTATGGTTTAGAAGCTCGATTTATACAACACATAAATAAAGGTTGGTCCAATGGTTCAAACTCACTTACAAGTCAACAAAAATGGTTTGAAGTCCTTACTTTTGTCAGAGTATTTCTTCACAAATGGCATCTAAAGGTCAATCTATGGTTCAAACTCACTTAAAAGTCAATGAAAAAGACATACCCACCCTTTTAGGAGATGTTATTATGGTTTACAAGCTTGATTTGTACAATAATTAATTGTAGACCCCAATGTCGATTCACGACATGCTTAGTAAGTTTGAACCACTAAATCGACCTTGTAAGGATCTTCATTTACTTGTTGTACAAATTGAACTTCTAAACCATAATAACATATCCGAAATGGATAGCTATACCCTTTCACTAACTTGTAAATGAATTTGAACTAATGATCGACATGTATTGATCTGTTGTAAAAATCTAGCTTCTAAATTGAGCTTCTAAACCACAATAAATCTTTTGAATCGGTCAATTGGTTGACATTGTAACAAAATTGTAAATGCTCACATAATTGAAGAAAAATTTGGTGTCAAAATCGAAATTGTGTGGTAATACAGTGACTTTCTTGCAAATTTAAACTCGGTGCCAAAATTGGAAGTTTGTAAACTTAGTGACATTATTGCAAATCGGGAAAAATTGGTATAGAGTAACAGAATAATAGGATGAATCGGTCAATTTGTTGATATTGCAACAAACTTATAAGATAAATTAAATTGTCTCCTACCTTTTATTCCTACAATTATTCCTACCCACTAAAATTATGACAAATTACCATTCAATTTAATTGTATTTGATATATTCCTAATATAGTTTTAATGATTTAGTTTAAAAAATATGGAAATATGATACTTGTCATAATTTTATTGAGTAGGAACATTTGTAGGCATAAAAAGTAGGAATCAATTTAATTTCTCAAATTATAAATATAGTGACAAGTTTTATGCGGAAAGATCTTATTATTTTGGGAAAATTTTAAATAATCAGACTTTTCTGTTCAAAAAAACTTTTAGAACTTTATTAAAAATTTTCACAAAACAATGAGATTTTTCTGCATTAATCCCATTGAGTTACATAGTTACAAAAAAAATAACTTAGTGTGAAAATCGAGATTTTATGATAATATAATGATTTTTTTTTTATAACTTTCCCTAAGAAATAAATATCTGCTTGGTTTAGCGACTAATACTTTGAAAAGAATTCTAGAAATTTTCGATAATAATTGCATGCTAAAATTGTGGTTCAGGATTGAACAAGCAAAAAAATACACATATTAGTTCTAATGAAGGTGGGGCACTATTATAAATAATATTGGGATTTAAAGTCAAACCAATCAATGACGATATAAATGTGAGGTAAAGAGAGCATATGTTGATTTTTAAAATCCATAATATACCATTGATATTTTTTTAAAAGCCTTAGGATGCCATTGAAATTACTAATGATTATATTTATGTCACTCTGGATCTACACTATACAATTTTTCGATTGTTACCCACCGAGATTAACATATATTTTCAAGACAAAACTATAAAAATGATCCACATGGTTTATTATTTTATATGGTTACGGTTCAAATGTTTTGAAAAGTTACAGATTTGATCATTTTCAAAAAGTTTTGTTGTCGTTTTAGTCTCTTATCCGTTAAGTTTAACTGTTTTGTTGTTAATTTCTTTAAAATGATAATTTTACCTTCAGGGATCATTTTCGCAGTTTTATCTTTACCATACTATAAGGATCATTTACGTAGTTTTATCTTTACATTACTATAAGGACCATTTAGCATACATTCTTTTTTATTTTATTGAAGTATTATATATTAATAAACATTATATTTGATATACAATATTATATATTAATAAATATTATTTTATTGGATTATTAATTTATTTTAGTTGATTTTTTTAAAAAAAATTGTTGGAGTAGTTCCTTTTTTATTGAATTATTATATATCAATACATATAGTTTTAAATATATAATATTTATATGTTTATAAATATTATATTATTAAATTATTAATTTCTTTTAGTTAATTTTTGTAATTTTTTTTAATTATTTTTATTGGATTATTACTTTTAGTTTATTATTTTCTTCATATACTAAATATTATTTTATTGGATTATTAATTTACTTTTAATTTATAATATTAGTTCCTGTTAATTTTAAGGGTTCCACCACAAAGCCGTGAGATACGTAAAATCTTCGTCTCTCATCATCGAAATCGTCATGATCACTGCCAAACACCTTCATTGCGTGTAGCTTATAATGAGAAACCATAGGAAAAACACCACCAGCATCACTCGGTCACCGCCACCACTTATAACTGTTACAAGGGTTTGTTGCGCATTATGTAGTATATAAAAGATCTAATTGAGAATTTGTGCTCTGCTCTTTTTTTATTCATTACGTAACTTGACTTCAAAACAAAAGCAAACAAGATATATATATATATATATATATATATATATATATATATATATATATATATATATATATATATATATCCTGAGACCCTAAAATTTAGTAAAAGATAATGAAAAACAAACAGATAAATGCGAAACATGTATGATTATCTATTCATTTGAATAATCTAGATTCCTTTACTCCCCCTCTAGTGGGAGCATGAAGATTCTGAATGCCCAGCTTGTCCGACAACGACTTCAAACGATCTGAACCAAGTGGCTTAGTGAGCAAGTCAACCAATTGATCTTGAGTGCTTATCTGGACAGGAACAATCTCCTTTGACAAAACACGTTCTCGTACGAAATAGCAATCCATTTCGACATGCTTGGTGTGCTCATGAAACAACGGATTGTGAGCAATGTTGCGGGCGAATTCATTATCACACAAAAGAGGTGTTGGTGCATGGAAATCAACATCAAATTCTGCCAACAACCAACGGGTTCAAAGAATTTCACTTACAGTAGTAGCCATTGTACGATATTTGGCTTCAGCTGAGGATCGAGAAACAACTGATTTTTTCTTGGATTTCCATGAAAACGGTGCACCTCCCAAGAGCAATATGTACCCCGTTCGTGACCTTCGTGAAAAGGGAAAACCCAACCAATTCGAATCGCTATATGCTATCAACTCAACATCCTCGGTCTTTGGTAACAACACACCTTGTCCCAAAGTAGTTTTGAGATAACGAAGTACTCGCATAGCAGCATTCCAATGACTTTGTCTAGGGTCCGAGACAAATTGGCTAAGAACATTCACGGAATAAGTAATGTCAAGTTTGGTTGCTTGAAGATATAAGAGTCTCCCAACGAGATGTCTATACACGCTAGCATCGACCCGATCTTCATCTTCTCCTTTATTTAATTTTAAATTTTGTTCCATTGGAAACCTGCTGGGTCGACATCCAAGAAAACCCGAATCTTCTAGGACATCAATGGTGTACTTTCGTTGACTAAGAACCAAAACTTAGTTTTTACGAGCCACTTCTATGCCCAAAAAATATTTCAAGGTTCCGAGATCCTTGATACTAAAACTCGCATCAAGTCTAGATTTGGTATGCTCTATCTTTTTCTTGTTGTAACCAACAATTATTACATCATCCACATAAATAAGGGTTTCCACAAAGGTGTCGCCAAGCTTATGAACGAAGAGTGAATGATCAGCTTGAGATTGTCGAAATTCTAGACTTTGGAGGGTTGTAGTAAATTTTTTATACCAATTTCTCGAGGCTGTTTTAACTTTTAACCCATACAAAGACTTTTTGAGTTTACAGACTCGTTTTTCGTTGTCTTTTCTAAAACCCTGCAGTATCTTCATGTAAATGTCTTCGTCCAAATCTCCATGTAAAAAGGCATTGTTAACATCTAACTGGTGTATGATCCAGTCACGTTGGACATCTATAGTGAGTAGAACACGCACGGTTACAAGCTTAGCCACCGGGGCAAAGGTGTCATGAAAATCCACACCTTCCATTTGGGTGTAACCCTTAGCAACAAGACGGGCCTTGTAGCGTTCTATATCTCCATTT